TCTGATGGAGGAAAGTAAAAAGCTTTGATATCAGCTGTTAAATCTCAATATTGATTATTGAGATTTATAGTTTAGATTCTCTGGGGATTTCTGCCACCTCCTTAGCAGGCAGTGGGGGCACAAAGCAGAGGAACCATCCTGATTCACAGCAGTGCAACACTCACAGGCCATCCTTTCTCCAGGGACAAACAGGGAGGATTAAATTGTGCTGTTTCTGACAGGATGAAAACTCTGTTTGACAGAGCTGCTGGGGACAGAGGAGGAGAGCTGGGACCTCTGTGCACTGCAGAGACCTTGGTTCGATCCATCATGTCCCACATTCTCTCAGCCTTTCCTGAAGGCTTCTCACATCTCTCCGTGGGGTGTAGATATTCCTGTGGAACATGAAAGGCCCCTGAAATCAGATATGGAGTCCTGTTGTGGGCTGCTTTGATTTTCTCCTTGCTTGGGAGAGGTAGGAAAGGCATATTTTTACTGGTTTTTAAGACCTTTCAGATCCAGAGGACATTGGGCATTGCACAGGAACAGGCTCTCATTAAAAGTCTCTTAAGCATGGAATGTGGCTGGAAGGAGATTAAAGGAAATAGATGAATTTAGCAAAGTGCTTAGACAGAAAAGGAGAGAGAAATAAAGTTGGAGATCCTTATTGTTCTTTCAGATTGCGAGCAGGTGTGCATTAATTCAAAGAGTTCACTTTCTTTGCTGTATGATCTGTAGATAATAAACTCTAAATCATCTAAAACGATGCAGTTTTCCTGACTGCAAATATCTGCATATTTTATATTTAATCTTGTACAAATGTTTGCATACTCTGATCTTGATCAGATGCTGTTGGCTCTGCCCTGATAAAATACAGTTGTGGTGGGAGCCTGCAAAGGCTCCACTCACAAAGCAAACTCTGTGGCTGTCCTGGCTCCAAGAGTGGCTTCTGCTCCCACTGGCACCTGCATGGCCCTGAGCACCTCCTTGAATTCCTCTGCTGCTTGTCTGAATTGAAAGTTGTGTGAGAGATGAGTTCTGGGAGCTGTGTCTGTGCTCTGGACAGTGGTGGGATTATTTATATCATTATATCATTATTTCCTGCTGACATTGCCCTGCCTCAGGTGACAAGTGTGAGAGTTTGCACAAGGGAAACTCACAGAAAGGTGTGTTCTGGATAGCTTCGGTCACTTGGATTAACCAATTTACTGCTTATTCTATTAGCTGTGTTCTGTCTGTCTGGTTATTTCTGACCTCCTTTTTTAGAGAAAAACCAAGTTACTCTTTTCCTGTGCAACAAACTATCTGTGTAGGTTGCTGCATTACCTCTTTCAGAATTTAAAGTGTTGCTGGATCCAGTTTTAGGAAGTGTTTTTCTCGTGAAGCTTTTGCTTTCAATGATGAAAATGATGAATTAGACTCGGTATCTCTGTGTGTGGGCCCAGGCTGTATTTGCTGTGCACCATTGAGATTGCTCTAGAAATGTAAGCAAATTCCTCAGAGGTTTTTATGATGCTTTTCTTCTACAAATATTAATGTCCAACCTGATTCAGAGCCTGGAGAATGGCAATGCCACCTTCTTCCAAATTCCACTGGCCACAAAGGAATTCCTTGAGATAATCCCTGCCCAGCACTGGAAAACTCAGGACAAAGTTGATGTGGCTTCACCACCTTCAGCAGCACTGGATAGTAACAAATGTGGAGATAAAAGCATGAACAGAAGTTGGGTGGAAGACTGAGATGTTCCCTCAGAATCTTTTCCAGCTTCTGGCAGTCTGTGCATCCAGAATTTCCTGTGTCAAATGGTTCATGGTGCCTTTATGACTTTGTCTTCCATGGTTTGTATGAATATACAGCTGCTTCAGCATTCCTTGTACCCTGCATTGAGAAGGGCTGCACGTTTAACTACAGCCTCATTTATTTTAAGTCTAAAAATTAAAAAATTATCACAACTCCCCCTGATTCTTTGATTTTAGAGATCAGAATAATCTTTACTCCCTTGAAGGCCAGTCCTGCTTCCACAACCCTGTGTTTTCCTACTGTCCTTCCTTCTCCTGGTGGGAACTGTGGAAGGCATCCAGCCTATCTTACACAAGTTATTTTGGAAATCTGTCACCTGTACATGTCCAAGCAGACAGTAACATCTGGCTTGTCCTTGCTCTGTGTGTGCATTGACTCCTTCAGGTTTAAGATGCCTGACCACTTTCCACAGAATTTGTGTTGACTCCTCTCCACTGCTCTGTATTTAACCTTTGCCCACCAATTCTACTCTGGTTTTAGAGTTTCTCTGGCCTTGTCCAGGACAGCTCATCCCTTGCTTGTGTCATTCATCAGATCTCTTGTAAATCCTGAAGATCCCTTTGCCTTTTCTCCGTTTCACACAGCAATACCTTTGCACCATGTTCTCCTTCCTGAGTCAGCACCTGGATGTGAATCAGACACCCCTGGGCTACAGAAAACTTCACAGCCTTGGCTTTACAGCTGCCACTTGAAATTCATCAACCCTCCCAACAAACCTGGGCGAGCTCAACAGCCTTTAATGAAACTCTGTCTGCTCAAGGGCTGAATTTCTGACTTTACATTCACCCAATGGCTCTTGCTCTGCACTGCCTGTTCTCTCTGTCCCCCAGAAGGGATTCATGGATTTTTGGCCAATGGGGGCCCTTGGGATGAGCATGTGGAATGGCAAGAACAAACAGTGAGCAGTTATCCTGCAGTTCTGGTTTTTAAACAATTAAGGTCATATCCTGGGACTGCTCTGGAGTCACTGAGCCTCTGCCCTGAGCTCCTGCTGCTTCTGAACCCCTGGGAAAGGGAAGGGCTCAGGGCTGATCACACCTTTCCTGGGAAGGGTGATGAGTGGTCTAAGTAGTAAGTGAAGCCACTGCTGCTGTCTGGAATACCTGACAAGGGATTAAAGATGTTTTAGCTGAGATGGAGGATGCTAAAATGAGGATGGGGACTGGCAAGAGGGGATTTTGGGGAGGTAGGATGCCTGGCAGGTCTGTTGGCACAGGGACAGTCAGTAGTTTGTACGTGGAATTTGGGAATGTTGTGGCTGTGCTCTCAAGCAGTGAGAGATTTGTGCTGTTATATCAGGCTCTTAAACTCTTCAGTAGAACCTTCCACTTCCTTATTTCCTCTCCCTGTGAACTTGGGAAACTTTGGTGCCTGGGAGCAGAGACACTGCGTGGCAAAGGGAGAGGAGCCACATTCCCACTCCACTCCTTGACAAGTGCACTTTTCTGGGATGTCAGTGCTGGAATCCCACTGCCAGGCAAAGTCCAGGTCCTGGCTCAGGGTTGTTATTCTGAGATAACAGCAACAGCTCTGCTGAGCCCAGCACTGTCCCCTGAGCTGGGTGCTGCCTGAACATCCCTAAGTCAGACTTTTGCTGACCTCTGAGCCTGTTCCTGTCCATGCAAATTTTGGCACATCTTGAGCTTCAGAGCTTGTGCCCAGCGTGTGCTTGTGCTGGCAGGGACATCCACCCCCATGAACAGGTTGGTTCACCAAAGTTTGGGTTTCAAGCACCAGGTGAGCCAGGCAAAGCCCTCAAGCTGCTTCATCATGGGTTGGTCTCAGTGCCTTGGGTCAGTCTTGTGTCCCTCAGCTTCCTCCAGCTCAGGTCTGCCTTCAGCAGCCTCTGGGCAGTGTTTGAGCCAGGCAGGGCTCTGAGCTGTGCAGTCTGAGCAGCTCTCTGGAGCTCATTAAGCTGTGTTAACTGGAGTTTCTAGGGCTGAACCTGGCCCCAAAGCTCTGTCTCTCTTTCCAGGATTGCCTCTTTATTTCTTGGCTCACTGGGACAGCTCCTGTTTCTGTCCTCCAGTTCAACAGTGACAGCAGGAGGGAGAGATTCTTCTCACCCACTTGGTTTCCAAGGTTCAATCCTTGTGTGATCCACAATGGTTCCAAGGTTCTTGGGTAGTTTGCAGATCTCTGGGTGAGCCTGTGTGTTAGTTAATTGTCTTTGTTCTTAATTACATGTGTGTGAGCACATCTGGGGGTTGTGGGCTCCTGTGGGAATGGGTACAGGCTGCTGTGGAACTGGGCCAGCAGAGCTGTGCTCCAACCCCTGGATAGGCTGGGCTGATCTAGAAAACAGCTCAGGAACAGCTCAGGAGCACAGTTTATATTTCTACAAAGCACATGGGGAACTCAAATCATGGCTGCAGGGCTTGACTTGCATCCTCCATCATGAAGGAGAAGTGTCCAAATAGAAAGGTTCCAGAATATTTCCACTGATATGCCTGGTTTGGACATTTCTGGGGGCAGAGCCAGGGGTTGAGGCTCTCTGTGAGTCTGGGTTTGGGAATCAGGTGGCATTCCTGGGGCTGCTCCCAGTTTTCAGCCCCCAAATCCTGTATCAAAGTAAAATAATTTCTCTGTGATTTCAAGCATCCTGCAGATACCAGGTTAGTTTTGCAAGATAAATATTGTCTTGCCATGGAAAGTGAAACCATTTGTCTCCAATATTTGTGACATTTTTCAGCTGAATTGCATTAACACATAAATGCATTGCCGTTGCATTTGGCAGGACATTTTTATTTGACCTTTCCTGTATTTTTTCAGCAAGGCTATGTTTTCCAGCAAAACTCAAGCTTGAGGAGGCAGGTGGTCACTGGTGGTGTCCTCCCACTGGCCTTTCCAAGCTGTGGGGTGTGGTAACAGTGCACACAGACCCTGGGAAGGAGCTGGCTCCTGCTTTTTGGAGTGGCACAGAGCTGTGACACAGAGAGCAGCAGCCAGGGCTCTGTGTGTGACACTGGCTGGGCTGTGAGTGGGTGCTGTCATGTTCTCTCCTTGGAGCCAAGAGAACTTCCCATGGGGCTGCTGGTGACAACACACTCAGGTTTCTCCTCCTCCTCCCCATGGCATCAGTGTGGGGCTTTGCCCTGGTGGGTGGTGGGAATGGGATGCCATATCTAATCAATCTAATCAATCTGTATTGATTTCTGAGCTGGTAAAATATCCCAACCCGCAACTTCCTGAATATCCCTCCCTTCTTCACCTTTTCCACGATGGTGATCTTCGAATCATCACAGAATCCCAAACTGGTGTGGGTTGGGAAGCTTTAGGGACCACCCAGCGCAGTCCTGTGCCATGGGCAGGGACACCTCAGGGCAGCTCAGAGCTCCTGTCCAGCGTGACCCTGACTGATCCCAGGGGTTAATCCTCAACTCACCGCCTCTCCCGCTTCTTTCCTTCCAGCCTGACCGGGAAGGAAGCTCTGACCCACTTCCCATCGCTGGGCGGCCCGGGGGGCTCGGGCCCGGCTCAGGGGCACGTGAAGCAGTGCGAGCTGCTCCAGCTGTCCCGCAAGCAGAAGCGGCTGTGCCGGAGGGAGCCGGGGCTGGCGGAGACGCTGCGGGACGCGATCCGCCTGGGCATCCTGGAGTGCCAGTTCCAGTTCCGCAGTGAGCGCTGGAACTGCAGCCTGGAGGGCCGGCCCAGCCTGCTCAAGAGAGGTACAAGGTAGCTGGTGTGCGGGGGAGCCCTGGATGGGTTAAACCTCACATGGAGCAGAGTGAGACACAATCACATCTCCCATCATCTCCCATCATCTCCCATCATCTCCCATCATCTCCCATCATCTCCCATCATCTCCCATCTCCCATCATCTCCCATCATCTCCCATCATCTCCCATCATCTCCCATCATCCCCCATCATCTCCCATCATCTCCCATCATCTCCCATCATCTCCCATCTCCCATCATCTCCCATCATCTCCCATCATCTCCCATCTCCCATCATCTCCCATCTCCCATCATCTCCCATCATCTCCCATCTCCCATCTCCCATCATCTCCCATCATCTCCCATCTCCCATCTCCCATCATCTCCCATCTCCCATCATCTCCCATCTCACTGGGAGCACCAAGAGCTCTGTCTCACCCTGCCATGGGAGCTGGGCAGCTCGGGCTGCTTTGCCACAAAACAAGCCTTGTCCTCCTCTTCCCAGCATGGTTTGTCAGGATTGGGAGGTGGGAGGAGGTTCCACATCCCTGGCTCCTTGCAGTGAGCTCCCTGCTCAGCTGGGGTGATGCTGTGGGAAATCAGGGTCAGCAGGGCACAGTTAAAGAAAAAAAAATCCCTTTAGTGCCTTGGATATTGGTTTATGTAAACCTCTGTTATTCTCAAATACAAAATTTAAATTTATCTGCATGCACACATCTCAGTGCATGTTGACAAATCTCTCCTAAGACTATTTTACAGAAATTTGGAGAAATTTGGGCAGAGTGGACAGAAGACCCACTGGTTTTTTGTTTCCCAAAATGCTTTAGATGAAGAAATTGTCCTGTAAGGTCTGGATTTGGGGTAGAAGGGAACATAAACCCTTCCAATGCTCGAGAAAAATTCAATTAAGATGGACACTGAAATGATTTCTTAACAAAAATTTGCAGAGAATGCATATAGGGTTTGCCAGACCTGTCCTGATCCAACCAAAGCCTGATTACAGAGTTTCAGTCTTTCAATAATTCTATTAGCACTTACTAAGCTTCAGTCTTCAGATTTATTGAGTTTCAGTCCTTTGATAATGTTTAGCAATTTAACATTTTCAAAAAAAGGACCTGAAGAAGCCAATATTAATTTTGATGAAAATCAATGCTAATTTTAGTTAATATTTGGATCAAAACTTTTTAATGTTTTCTTTTAAAATTATCAATTTTTGTTACATTAAATATCAACTTAATATCTTATTGTCAGCACATGCAAGATCAGATTTCCTTCATTGCAAGGCTCTAGTGTGAATTTTTTAGCAGGCAGTGGAAGGAGCTTGATCATTTGAATGTCTTTCTCTCATCTGCACCTTCATCAACCTCAAAGAACTTGAAAATGACAATTGAATAATCCTCATCTTCAAATAGCTGAAAAACATTTAATTATCTGGCGGTGGCATGCCTTAACATTTCCATGGGCTCCTGACTGACAAAATAAAATATCACCTGTAATTTCAAACCTGTTTTGGCAGATGGGGATAAGTGTTTGAAAGCTTTTATTACACAATCTTAAGGATCAAATGATGATTTAATACAGCCAGGTATGCTGTGTGCACCCCCTGTGTGACAGGACACTTGTCTGGGAGCAATTATTAGTTCTCATTTTCCTTTAGCTTGCAGAGGGGTTTGTTTCTTTCAAAAAGAACAGGAATGGTTTCAGCTGCCACTTTTCAGCAGTTTGTGACATTTGTTGGAACTTTCTTGGAAATTGTTGGTCATGCAACTCTCCCCTGTCACCCAGTAGTGACGAGGTGTTTTAGAAATGTTTAAAACATTTGATATCTCCATGGTGCTAGAGAAATCACAAAGAAAAATACACATTTTTAGCAGTCTAAATGGTCTTAGGAGTGCAAGAGAGTGAAAAAGGTCCTTCCCATTGAGATGGGGCATTTTTGCAACAGGTGAAAAGCCACATTCGATTTGCAATCACAACAGACAAACTGCTGTTACTGATCTGGATCAGCAGTGCTTTTTTTACTTCTAGAGATGCCAAAAAACAAACAAGCAAAAAATGAGCCAAGGGTTTTTCTGGTTCTTGAAATGCCAGATTTATTTGACCAGTCTGCACCATTTGTTGCTCTTGATAGTTCTCTGGGTACAACTGGGACTCCTCAGTGATGCATCCAAAATCCTCCTGCATTCCTTCTCCACTTCTTTAGAGATCCATGGAAATAGCTACAGTTTAAATGATTTCAAGTTGCACAGGGGCAGTTGGTGTCTTTATAAAACATGTAAAGCAGTGATGATCTTTTGGTGTCCTGGGTGTGCCATTAAGGGCTGCTGGAAGTCAGGTGAAGCAGGATTTCATCTCAACTCAGTGATCTGGGGAAATAAATACCTTTAGCAAAGAGGTCAGAGCCAGCCACTCACAAAACCCTTCTTGAGAAATGAACCCTCTGCAACCTTCCATCCCTTCATCCATCCCTTTGCCTCCTGCTGGTTGGACCCTGACCTCCCAGCAGTGGCTTCACTGTTGTCATGAGGAACCCAGGAATGGTGCAACAGAGGAGTGATGACTCACAGACACAGAATTTCCATGATGGGAGATTTGAAGAAATCAGCTGGAAAAAGCCCTGAGCAGCTGGCATTGGAGCCAGCCCTGCTCTGAGCAGGAGGTTGTTCTAAAGACCTCGAGAGCCCTTCCATCCTTAATCTTTCTATACTTCTATGGCTTTTTTTGGTTGGTTGGTTTTGCTGTTGTTTTCAGAGAGATGCCTCCTCCACCTGCTCTGAAATGCTCACACTCCTTCTCTACAGCATTGAAAAACCTCTGACCCTGAGCATCTTTCCTTTGGCAGAGTCACCCCATGGCTAAACTCCTCCTGTTACAATTTTCCCTGTGGTCTGGAGCACACCACAGCACACAACAGTGGTGCAGCAAAATCCTTCTGTATTTATAGGCTGCTGAGCTAAGAAATCCTTCTGGAGAGCTCAGGGCAAGGCTTGGACACATGGAAGGCCCTACCAGAGGGAGCTGGTTTGCTGCAGCCTCATGAAATTCATCTCTGTGCTGGATGTTTGCAGCCAAACTGCCCAGCAGAGACATCTACACTCAGATGTTCCCCCTGCACCGAGAGTTTCAGATTCACTTTGTCCCTGACAGGACACTCACTGGGGTCAGGGGAGTGACCCATCCCCATCCCCATCCCCATCCCCATCCCCATCCCCATCCCCATCCCCAT